TTTATATATAAGATTTAATTTTTTCCCTGAATTTTTATAATAAAATAACTAAATAAATAAAATAAAAATAACTCCTTGTTTGTTTGATTTTATTTGTAATAGAGGATGCTCTTGTTAAGAAATCTGATGTTACCCTACTAGAGGTTTGCGAGACATTGTAAACCCATAAAATGCCAAAACTCTCGTACTCCCAAACTCCCTGCACATTTTTCAAGAAGATGCACATTAATAACTTCATTATTTCCATTTTTGAAATTTTTTCGCTTAAAAAAGTTATTTAGTTATTTGATTTTTGTGTTAAAATATATTACTAATGTATAGGTATAATAATAAATCGTTCTGAAATTATACATTTGCAATACTTATTTTAAAACAAAAGTAGTGGCCACATTCAAAATCATTTACTTCTCCTAATTCCCGAAAAAAAAATTCAAATATATACGTTCGGCATGACAACAATTTTCCTGATGTGTTATTAACCTAACTGTAAAAGTATAAGGGAAAATAGTTTGAGTTTAGCTTATTCTTTAGCATTTTTTGTTTAAATTTTACATTGGCACTGCAAAGCTGTATGCAACAATTAGCACTCTATGCAACACGAATCTAACCAGAATAGTCTGTATTTGATGGATACACTGAGCGAATCTTGTAATACAAAGTACCCAAAATGTAAAAGACCCTCAACTGGAAATAATAAAATCGGTGATTCAATCCAATTCACTAGTATATAAGACATGTTAACTCGATTCTACGTTGGGATACCATTTCATAGATGAAGGTTGACAAAGGCGATATCTACTCTCCCCATATTGGTGACTATCGGACGTGATGTGAACACGCCTACCTTCACAGAAACTCCCACTACGATTTGAACACGCTTACTTCGATGGATGGTACACATTGAGCAGTTGACTTGCGAACTTGTGACAGCGACATTATCCATCTCCTCGCGCTGTTGCTACTCAGTCTCGATCAAACACAACGTCGGCTTGCATACACTCGACTGATAATGGCAACACAGGAGCAGCCACGACCGAGAACTTAATACAGCTCTCACAATCAACAAAAGTACAGTGATCTTAATACAGCTCTCCCGGCTTCTGACAAAAGAGCAATGAATCAACTAGTGGTATCCGTTCATCGAATTCTATCACAGATATAATTCTGGTAGGGGAGTACTGTAGTGTATCTACCACTACAAAAATACAATTCCAATTCACTAGTATATAAGACATGTTAAATTTCTGATTCTATGTTGGGGTACCTTTTCATAGATGAAGGTTGACATCGGTGATATCTACTCTCCCTAGTTATTAACCCGTTTTGTCCCGAATTTATAAATTGAAATCATACAAAAAGTGGTTTTATGGAAAAAGTGGCATAATACATACCTGCCAACTCTTCAGGATTTTCCGGAAGATTTTATTTTCATATTTAAAGTGGTAGTAATTATAAACTATTTTTTCTTTTATAATCTTAATTTTTAAATGATTTTGATCACCACTATTCTTACAAAAATTAAGCTTATATATTAATATGCGTTACTATCATGGTTGTCAACTTAATTTTTTTCAAATACAACGTATTTGTTTGCTTAAAATTGAAGTTTTAATTCCATTTTAATACCACTGGGAAAAATGATAATGGAAGGGATTAAAAGTTGGCAGGAATGATAATATATTATCGAAATTAATTGTTTTCTCTACTGTTGGGGCTTTCAAAAAGTCTTTGAAAGATATAAAAGTACTTGCTCTTTATAATTCTAGATCTAATCAGAAATAACTAAATCATTGTGGTATCCGTGAAACTTTAAATTCACCCAGATAAATGAAATACTGAAAAAAGTTTCGCACCACAATGAATGTCTTTGAAAAAAGGAACTGTCCTAAATATATGACGATGGGCGTTAACCGGTTAAAACGTGCTCGTGTTTACGTAAGCAACTGTTCTTTCCGTTCTATTTCGAGTTAACTTACCCTGTCAAGTATCAATTCTCTGAAGTGATACATTCTACAATTCCTTCACAATGATTTCAATTCTTTCACCAAATATTTCTTACTTAGCACAAAGACAGACACGAAACCATGTAGAACATAAACAAACTAATTATGCATCGAAGTTGCCAGGTACACAAAACAAAAATATATCACGTGTTACAATAAAATACATAAACAAATAATAAATCTCAAAAAGAATTATATTTCAGCAAATTCAATGTTCGATACGACGCTGTATTTAATATACTTCACATTAATTAAAATTCTGACTTATGTGGAAAAACTTGGCTCAACTTTGACACGGAATTTTGTTCATTGATGATCAGCTGATGTCATAGGTCACATGTGTGGGTATGTTTGATATTCTTCTTCTCGAAGTGCAGGTACCCAATTACAGCGTCTCATCAAAAGGAGAATGGTGGTAGAAGAATTAAAAACATTTTAAGCCTATGTTTTGATAAAACTAAATATTTCTACATCCAACGCATGTTAACAATTTAAGTTATAACATACAGTTCTAAAGCATCTAAAGTATTATTGTTATTATTTACTTAAAATAAAGTCTTAAACTTAAATATTTTATTAACTTAAGATTAAAACTTTTGTTTATTAATTTAACACGTTCACACGGAAAAGAGAAAATACTGGTCGAAGAACTATTTCAATATTAGATAATATTCGGGAGGAGTTAATCTATTCTTAGCAATAACAATTCAATTTAAGGAAATTTATCACGGCGAAGAAGCAATTCAATATAAAAATTGCATCCGTTAAAAATAATTGGTAGTTATGGATTTTTATTATTCCCGGCAAAAAACTGAAAAATGAAATTTATTGTTACCAGTTTTTACTCCGGTGCGCTGCCAAGATGAGACAATCTAGCGTGACCCACCGGTGGGTCACCCCAGAGTGAACGTGTTAAAGTAAATACAGTTTTTTAATTTTGCACTGAACACTACGACCCTTAATGTTTAACATTTATGAAGACAGATGAAAATTTTATAAAATTAGGTTCCGCTTTAAGTTTTATAAAATCAATATTATAGATATCGCATAATTTTTTCGAGTTTATAATATTTTTGTTCAATTAAAATGTTTAAAATATTTAATTTTCAGACCATATTAAGAATATACTAGGTAAAACTTAGTAAAAATTAATTACGTATTACTTTTTCTCTCTTAAAGTTATAAATGGAAACAATTATATTTCTTAAAATTTAATATCCTTCTTCAAAATTACTTATGGTTATTATACTTTTAATCATAAGTATTATTTGAGAAGTACAAAAAATTTAATATCTGATTAATTAGCTTCACGATTATTTTTTATTCTGAATATTCTATTCTCAAAGTTTTCATTTCGAAAATGAAACTAACTGATTACTTGAAACAATGAAACGATGGATCAATCTCCGTGTTGCCATTCGTTATCTTTCTAATAAGCTTTGCTCAGCAGACGATAATTTGAAAATGGAACGAAAATATCCATAATTAGAATTTCGAGAAAAGTTTTTGATTAGTTCCCTCTGTAATGACATTTTAGAGTTATTTTAGAATTCCTCATACATTTCAGAATATTTGGGAGATTCCAGACTTAGTATTTCATTTTTGTTCTTTTATATTGTGAATTGAAAGTAAATTAAAACATTATGATTGAATCAAACTACTAGGATTTCGAATTAGAAATTAAATAAAATAAAATAATAATTCATACAGCTGAGCTTTTCATGTTTATGAATTAAGAGATCTTTAGCATTAAAGTATAGGCATTAAAAAGAAATTACACTATCATAATTGGAAAAATTGACTATTTCACATATTAATTAAAAAAATATTGATCTCTATTGTCATTGTATACAGATTTAGGAAGAATGTAAATATAATTGTTTGTTAAAATTCTGTTTTAAATCAGAATTTCTCTAGTATGTATAGTTTTTCTCCAGTAAAGAATTTAAAAAACGGGAATCTCTGACAGGAAATATGTAACTTAGTTTTTCAATATATTTGGGTGAATTATTGTGTATTATTGAGTGTGAATGAATTATCTTGAGTAGTTCCCAAGAACTATGCAACTACATTAATCTAGTGTATCTCTTGTTTAATCGGCAAAAAAACGGATCACATTTAAAACTTTTGAACTATTGGAAAAAATTTTATTCTGTAACTGCAATATCTAAAAAAAGTGTCTTAATATACGCAGAGCAGTAAACTTTAACTGTAATTGAAAATTTTTATTTTGATGCAAAAATGCACTTTTTCTGGAGAAATTTATCAATCTCAATTTGTTTACTTCAATCAAGCATTTGTGTGGTCAGTTTTTATAAATTTGTCGAAAAGAAGGTTACTAATCAATATTTTGAGCACACTTTGTCTTTCGTTCATTAAAATTTGAAATTTATCTTTATTTTGTATATTATATTGTAAGGTGTATAAACAGCTTTTTCAATCCCCCAAAGTTGTACAAAAATCAGGGGATAAATTTGTACAAATGTAATAAAATCGAAACTTCGTTGATCATGAAATACCGACCATTGATGTATCAATTCATTTCTTTCAAAAACTATTTCCAATATGCAATATATATAACTGATTTTTCATTTTCTTAAATATTTTTTTTATTTCTAGAAACAATTCGAATTTTTAGAAGTAATATTTTAAATTACGTTCAGAAAAAAGCAATGAGTTAAAAAAATATAATTTATTCAGGAGTATTTAAAAAAACTATAATAAAATAAAATAAAATCCTTCAAGATATGCCATGAAACTTAATTCGCAATCAAGAGTTTTAATATGTAACATATGGAAGTAAAACACAGTTTTACTAATTTTCCACAAATTTTTAAGTAAATTTTGAGTGATAAATAATAGAAATATTCCATGTGTCCACACTAAACCCATATCCACATTTACCCCCCTACCTTTTGAGTATAATAAAAAATCTCAACACAATACTCTCAAAATATTTTATACAAGAGATAAATGAATCTTCTTTTCTCTTTTCAGGCAATTATTGGTGAGGCTAAGCGACATAAGATGCCAAAAGAAGACTACCAGTTACTCGTTATGACAAGCGTTGAGATGTCATGAAGAACAACGCGAAGGCTCATAACACCAACAAAAAGGACATGAAGCCTATTGATGAAGAAATGAACATGAAGGTATTATTTTTCCCAAACAAAACTTCAAATATAAAAAATTTATGTAGTAATTAATTGATTACTTAAAAATTTAAAGTAGTAATTGATTGATTACTTAAAACATTAATGTAGTTATTTATTGATTACTTAAAAAAATTTAGGTAGTAATTGATTGTTTACTTAAAAAATTAATGTAGTAATTGATTGATTACTTAAAGCATTAATGTAGTAATTGATTGATTACTTAAAGCATTAATGTAGTAATTGATTGATTTCTTAAAAAATTTATGTAGTTATTTATTGATTACATAAAAAAATTAATGTAGTAATTGATTTTGCTTGTAGTGCATTTGCTCAACCGGGAAATTAGATAAAATATTTCAAATAAATAGAGGATTTATGAATTTTGAATGTCCTCAGTTGGAAGCATTACAGAAAATTGCATTATGAATCTTGAAATATCGAAATATTTGCAAATCTTTTGCTCTATACCTTTTTTCATAGATTATAATTACTTTGATGAAGATTAATATATCATAAATTCATGATGAATTTAAAATTTAAATGTAAGAAAGTATTGTCACATTTTTAAATTCAATTTAAGTATTTCAAGAGCACAGAAATACATATACATAAATACACGAAACACTGATAATCAATTATCATATAAAATGAAATTTGGTTTTACGATGCTTCAAATCATCAAAGCTTTGTTCATGAAATGAAAGAATATCTTTAGTGATAATATACAGGATGAATATAAAATGCATTTGCCACCTTACGATCCTCTAACATACCAAGCAAGAAATATAATAAAGTTTTATAAAAAGGTTTTGGAATATATAAGTTTAAAATTAGTTAGGAACGATTACCCAACTCACAGTTATTGTTAAAGTAGCCGAATTTCAAAAAAAAAATTGTAATAGCAAACACAACTTTTTTCAAAAAAGCCAGATTATCAACACTTAAAATATTGTAGCTGAGTTGAAACTTTACTTCATTTGCATTCCACAACCTCATCGAAACACCTCAAAGTTCAAGTTAAAGATGGATGGGAAAAGGGCCGCGAGTAGCCTCAGATGCCCAGTAATACAGTACGAACTAGACAGGGATGATGCGAAACTAGACAGAGATGAAAAAAGCATTAAGTCGACGTGCAAGCGATTCAGTTCTACCGAACGCTCACTAGCAGCGGAGAAGGTAGCAGAAAGCATAGTGTCATGTTTCCCCTTTGTTTAAATACGCAGTATGTTGCAAGTCTTCGACTATGCCAACCGTCGCCTTTATTTGTGCATAAAATATATTCTTAAATATATTTCTATTGTAATATAGGTGTGTCGCTGCGAAAAAGTAGGTTTAGCCGCATGAAAAATTATTCAGCGCAAATAGCAAACTTTTTTCGGATTGAAATGTGAATCTAATTATAAAAAGCTTAAAAGAGAATTGGAATACTACTTTTAGCTCAAATAATGGCAACGCCAGACAGAGATTAAGAAAAACAAGAAGCAATATACTTAATCACAGTTCCTTATTCTTCTTTCTTTTTTGTCAGAGTGCATTCAGAATGCTGACTTACTCAATATATACAAAAATTTATAAAACACATTTATTTTTCGTCTCTACATAGCACTACGATATTCATGCAAAGAATATCGTTCTGGCTTTAAGTTTTTTATGTGAACATCACAATTCGATGGTATAAAGAGAGAGGTGTTGTCATTTAAGAATGATGATATTCTGTCATTATAACCGTGGTCATGTGAACTGGAAGAACGTTTTTAACAATATTCTTAAACAGATACCCTATTATACTTTTATACACAATTTTATTCCGTTCCATCAAACAATATTTGCGCCAAGGCGTCATATAATGCCAAAAGTATTTTGTATTCATCCTGCATTAGGTTGATTAAACTACNCTTCAAACCTTTCTAATTCAGAAAAAATCCAAAATAATAACATTATTCTTATTTGAATTTTCCGATGCTTTTCCCCTTTTTCATGGAATCGCCCATTTGTTTTTAAAAGCAGTTTAATGAAATTTTTAAACAAAACACACAATTTGCAGTAAAATCCGAAATCATACTAAACGTAAAAACCATTTCTTTGTAAAAAAAAAAAAAAGAGAGAGAGAGAGTGAGAAGGAGGGAGAGTAAAAAAACCAAACGCGCAGTTCTCTGTGTTCTGCTCAGGAGGCGAGATTTTGATCAACAAATACTGTCAACTGTAAAACTATCTATGTTTTTGCTGCTCGTGACACTATATTCTACAGGATGTGTAGAGTTTTTAAAAAGTGCTTAAAGGTTTTCGTTTCTTAAAAGCCCTTAAAGGTGCTTTTTTCAACGGATGTTTTTAATAAGTGCTTAATTTTCTCTTTTTTAAAATGAGATTTTTCCGTTACCATGTTGATTTTCAATACGAATTATGCAAAAAGACGCAGTTCACATTGTTCTATTCAACGTTTTCACAATTAATTCAGCCTCTATCTATTTCGGCGTATTGTCAGTCCGTAGCGTATGAAAACGCCATTCGTTTTACGTGATTCAAAATTTCATGATTTTTGACAATTGTCAAAAACAATGCTAAAAGGTTTTTTGACATGACGGTAAAAACAAGATTAAATCGTCAATTGTCAAAAACTGTCCAATCCAGCATGATTATGATATTTTTTTAAAGTGCTTAAAATATTTTTTGAGTGCTTGAAAAGTGATTAAAAGGTACTTATTTTTTGTTGAATAATTTGGCTACGCACCCTGTTCTAATTTAATTTGCACGGAAATATGTTAATTGAGTTTGCAAATGGTGATCATTTCGAAAACATAGTTTTTCAGTTTTTTCTCGTTCAGCAGAGCCATCTGTTGAGAAATTTTGTAACAAATTTTAAGTGGGAATAAATTTTCTGATTTCTTATACCAGATGAGAGAAATTATGCTTTTCTCTCTCCTTTCCTTTTCTTTTAATTCATTTTTCAAATCTGGAGTTTCTATAAGAACGTTGTTTCCTTTCATTAGTGCATGATAGAAGTAAATTATTCCTCAAAATTCAATATAGGATCAAAACAGCAAAATAAATGTACTTTATATTGTGAAAAACTATTTCCTCTTACTTAAAATTAAACCAAAAAAGGAGACTTTTTATTAACATCCAATCACACATAATTTATTCGATAAAAAATAATTTTCGAAAAATCTATAAAAGAAAAAAAACTACTTAATAGACAAATTCTTAGTAAGCTTTTAAGCTCCTTCAAAAATGGTTCTCTTAACTCTATAAAAATATAGAATTTAAATAAAAAGAAAAATATCTTTTCTTTCTCCCAATTTTTGCTCCTTTTATTGACATAAATGATTAAGTTTTCCTCTTTTTCCTCCTGCAAGACGTGGCGGTTGAAAATCGAACAACTTCAACTGCTCCAAAAATAGCGTGTAATTCTTAAAAAAACTGAAATCATTTGGCATAAAAATGGTAAACATTATTTATTTTTGCTTGAATGTTTATTTATGAATCATAACAAACAAACTATTTTCCTGTTTTATTGTTTCTTGAAGAAATTTAGAAAATAAAATTCCGAATAAATCTGCATAAAAATTGCTTTTTTTCAGTAAGAACATTTAATTTAAGTAAAAAAAAAACTGAAAAAATTTTTTGAAACAAACATAGTTAACAATTAGCTAGTGATTTATGAAATACATTTAATCAGTTTTAAATATAAGATACCGAAAAGTGATATCGTTAATTTAAATTGTGTAGCTTGCACATGTTCTAGCTGCACAGCCTGGTTGTACTCTGCAAAGAGGACTTTTAGCTAAGACTTTTGTGGACGCTTAACCCGGTTGTATTCTGCAAAAAGAGCCGTCAGCTTAGACATTCGCAATCGCTTTACCTGGTTATATTCTTAAAAGAAGTTGTCAGTTAATGACATTATTAGTTGCTTAATCCCGGTTTGTTGTACTCTGCAAAGAGGTAGTCTGCTTAAGACATTCGTAATCACTTAGCTCGGTTTTATTCTACAAAAAGGCCGTCAGCTTAGACATTCGTTGTCGCTTTGCCTGATTGTATTCTGAAAAGAGATCGTCAGTTAAAGACATTCGTAGTCGCTTAGCCCGGTTGTATTCTGTAAAAGAGGTTCGACAGCTTAAACGTACGTGATCGCTTATCTCTGCTGTACTCTGCTAAGAGGTAGTCAGCTTAAGACATTCAGTTGTTTAGCCCGGTTGTATTCTGCAAAAAGGGACGTCAACTTGCACATTCGTGTTTACTCAACCCGATAAATAAATTTTTTCGTAATAATTTCAATTTTTTTGTTACCCATACAAGCCGCGAGGCAGCGCACAATAGGTATGGAAATCCACTTTAGCAAAAAACTCAACAAGTTTGCATTAGAAATTTTTTCATGATAAAAACGTTCTTTGGCGATGATTGCTTATTAGAAGGCCAAGTTCATCGGCATCGCAAAAGGTTTTCTGAAGGACATGAAGAATTCAATGATAAGGCTCACACTTGTAGACCATCTACGACCACTGCCGACTGAAATATGACACGTCTAATTGAATTCTTAAATGGAGACCATCCTTAAGTCTTCGTTTCACAGGTAATAACATTCCAAAAAGTCCCGATCAGACTTCGAAAGATTATTAGAAACTCCACAATAATACGGAGTCTTACTCCTCCACCTTCGTCGTTACCTGCGCTCTTGGTCAAATGCTTATTGTTCTCCAGCAAATTGCTATCCCAGATTTCTTATAAAAATCAACCTCTAATTAACTTCTATGCAATCCATTAGATTACATTTTGGAGATATTGTCCAGAAAATGTATTTTTGTGGTGGACGATGGGAGAACCATTCTCATCAACATAAATCTGTATCCGATATTATTTACTGGTTAAAATATAGTTTCAAAATGATGATCTTTCAAAATCATGACCAATTGAAAATGTTTATTTTCAGCTTAATCTTCAAAAGGTTTAGTTGAAAATCTTCATTTCGAGTTCATAAAATAACTCAGTTCATAATAACTGGC